CTGTTTCATCAATATATGTTCATGGCTCTGATGCAGGGGTAATGACTCTTGCTTGGTTCCAGCTGCTATTGCCAGTTCCCAGATGAACTGGTTTCCTGGCTGTCTGTTTGGGCAGTTGTTTGTGTGATTCATAGAGTAAAACTATTGTTTCTTTATGTTTCCATTCTTTTCATGGAAAATCAAACCCTCATTTATCCTTGTGTCTCAGCAGAGGAAACTAACCCTGCTGTTGAACAGAGAGATTTATATTAGCATGTCTACCCTTGTTTCAAGTTTTTTTTTTCACCACCTGAATAGCTCTCCTGGTCACTACTGACTGGCACAGGATGTATTTTGACAAGATGAATGCGCACTCAGATTTTTGGACATCTGAGCCATTGTGAGGCATTCCCTCTAGTATTAAATGCTTTTCCTATTATATTTTGACATAGATACTCAGCACACAATTTGCATGTGTTCATTTTGAAACTCCCATGAACTGATGAATCGTATGAATCCCATGAATCATGAATCAATGAATCTCTTTCATAGTCAAGCAGTCTTTAGCATGGATTGGGTTTAAGGGCCAATGTAATCAGCTTGAAATGAGTCACAGTAGTGGCTATGTTCTGAGAAAAGCAGTCAGGCTTACACAAGCCAGATCAAAGTATAATTATATATGAGGTGAGTCCTGGGTACATCGCACCAATCCACTTCACCATAAGAACAGTGGGAGTGACTGCAGCATGGCACTCCCTTGGCCTGAGCGCTCCTGGCTCTTGTGTGTCCTTTTGCCCACCCTCGACCCCTCCCGCCCTCTCTGTGCTCCCTACATGCTGTGCCCCCAGCGCCTTGTCCCTGCCGGCTAGTCAGCCCCAGACTTTGGCCCTTATGGCCTAAGAGCTCAGTATTAACAACATCAATTAATATTAATTAACTATAAGCATTAATTAATAATACAACTATAATGTTTATATTATAATAGTCATAATATATGTATATTGTTTTATTGAATGGGGTGCCACTAAGTACCGAAAAGTTTGAGAGGGGTGCCTTGCATCTGAAACGATTGAGAACCAATGGACTAACTAAATGGGGGATTCATAAGCTTTTCTGAAGTCAAGCATACTTCATCTAAACACGGCTGAAAAGATTTGCATTGTGTCAGTTATTTATCTTTATTGTTTACTTCTGGGCCTACTTTTTTTTCTCCTTGGTAGATTTTTTTTTTTTAAATGGTTGAGGTCTCAACCACCAAAAAGATGTTAGAACCCAAGTAAGGAAGTCCAGTGAAAGAGGCACTGTAATATCAAAAGTTGTAAAGCTCTTTGAATGTTGTTCTAAGATGTTCCATGCTCTTTTACCTCTGTTGAAGTCCACGCTTGCTTTTACTTTTCATCTCTCTCATCAGTGGCTTGTACAAGACCCTTCAATCCTGTATCTGCCATGTTCATACTAATCCTCTTCCCCTTCTGGTGACTGCCAAGTCAGAGAGCAGGCAAGCAGCTTCCTGTGATGCCCATGCATCTTTCTAATCAGGCAACAGAAGGAGCTGTCAGGCTTTGCTCCCTGGAGACCAAACGTATCTTTTCCATGATACACTCAGACTTTGCTGGCCTGCGGCACAAGAATTTTGAGTCTGTCTTTGCACCTGGCTCCTCTTTGGATGGCAGCATGCAGAGCTGCTGCTGCTGCTGCTACTTCTGCTACTCAGCCTTAGGCCCTCTCACACACCTAGATTTGTTTCTTGAGCTGACATTAAAAATTTAAGTACATGGAAACTGTTGTGCATGCAAGTGCACCAAGTTATAAGTTGGATGGCAGCCCCAGAAAAGCCCACCAACTGCTGCTGAACCAGCTCATCCTAAAGTAAATATATAAATGAGAGCAAAAGATGAATGTATCAGTGATGCTTCCTGTATCAGGAGCTATAATAAATAGGTGTGCTTCAAGGCTAGTAAATGAAAACACGTATGTTATTCAGAAATTGTTAGGCATTCATCTGCCTCATTCTGACTGAGAATTATAAGCTCTACCCCCCCTCCCCTCCATGCTGGCTAGGCAGTAATTCTTCCTTTTAGTTTCTTTTTATCAAAGATGTGAATAATGTATGCTTCGTATAAGGAAAAGTGGGAGTCAAGAGGAGTCATAAGCAAGGACTTGGAAGTAGTCAAAAAGAAAAAAATGCACTAGCCAATGACAACATAGGGCTTAATACTATAGAATGGGAAAATGTAACATAAGTTAACCATGCTTCCACTGCCAGCAAGACTTATATGTTTCCATGACAGCATGTCAGTTCTATCCATATGCTTTCTATAACATACATAATACACCCGACAGATGGAGCTTAACTCCTCCAATCAGGTTTGCTATAGGTCAATATGTTTTCAGCTAACATTGTATTACTACTATTAATGTACACGGTGTTAGGGCTGAGTAACAATAAGGACTAAGCTTACAATCATAGAAGTCAGAAAAAATTAGACTATAGAATGAAACTCCCACCCCCACGGCCTGTTACACCTAAGTATGGCTGATGTCGAAATCAGCTGAGTAACTTTGAAGACTGGTCTTTATTTGCTTCAATACATGGAGTCAACTGGATGAGTTTAATAGAAAAAGAAGGAAACCTGCCACTTTTTTCCTTTGGGCTTCTTTGGACTATCTTCTTTTTAAAAAAAAAAGTGGTTGTGCTTTGCTGTGATGAATGGTCAGTGTTTCTGACATGTGGTTTTTATTGTTCTTATTTGGAAATGTATTTTTTTTAAAAAACAGGTTATATTCTGATGGATAAAAATTGAGGCTTGCAATATATAACAGTATTTTGTCTTTAATTGTATGTATTTAAAAATGACCCTTTCCTGATTCTGCTGAGAGAGAAAAAGGAGAGAGAAAATGTCAGTTTCCTTTAGCACTTCAGAAGTCCTTCCATTCAACATGCTAGACAATCAGTGTGTTGTTTTGCCAAAAGTAGGGCAGCCTGGTACCTGGGGATAAGGGGTCCACCTGTTTCTCCTGGGCAAGAATACTGGATCGTCCCCCTCCTGTAGTCTCTAATGTATGTGCACTACTTGTTGTTGTTACTACCTGTATCTGTTCTGCCATCATGAAGCTTCAGTGTAGCACTGCCACTGTTTAAAGTTTCATGGGAAGAGCTGCACAAAAGAAGCCAGCTGCAGTGCACAACAAGATTTATTTGTCCTACAAAACCCTGGAACCATGCTTGGAGACCAGCTACTTGATCCGTATCCATTAACTGTTGCATAAAAATAGACATCTTTCACTTACAGAGCACTTCTGTAACAGTGGCTACAATAAACGTACTTCTCAATTATTACATTCACCTGTTCTGATGCTTGTTTTCCAGTTTTCTTTCTCATCAGCAGTTTTAAATGCAATTAAAAGCTGGTTACAGAAACTCACTAATATTTTGGGAGCCCCAAATCATACATAAGACTTTTCCTGTTTGTGATTTGAATGAAGAAGAGGAAACCATGACGTTCCTCTTCTCTCCCATGGCCAAATCTGGTTACTATGCTGGTGCAATTCCCTATTGACCAAAAGGGTTCTTACTTGCATACAAGGTTCTGCAGCCACTGTTTCATTTTTATTATTTCTTTTGGTTATCACTTCTTTTGGCCAACAAGATAAGCCATAGGCTGAAATCTGAGCACTACAGTTTATTAGACCTATAGTTTTCTGGGCTTCAGGACTAAAAAAATAAATAAAACTTGCATTTCTAATAGCGCCTTTCATCAAAGTATTTTCAAATTTAAGCATGAATGAATTCCTCCTGGAAATGTCTGTGAAAAGCAAACCGTTCTTCCCTCTGGCCTTCTTCCTAAGTGCTCAGTTGTACCTTTCTAGGTCCTGAAATGGAGAAGGTACAAATCCTAGTGAAAGGGGTCCTTAGAGAGGCAACAATTCTCTCAGATCTTTCCAGAGCACAGTGTGCCTGTTAGTACACCAGTTCAAGGATGCAGCATGCTTAGCCAGGCCTGCTAACCAGCATGAACAGAGAAGCATGGCCCCAACGCCTCATCTTCTCTTTTGCAATTCATAGTAGGAGGAATTGTAATTAATATAATTATGCCCAGAAGATGCAGAGGATTTTAGGGAACAGAGGTAAGAAGTTCATGTGCCTTTACCCAGGAACATGGCAGCCAAATACAGCTTTACCTTAACTGCACAAAAAGAGTCCGTGAATGAAAATGTGTGTAGTTTAACTGAGGGTGCGTCTGTTGTCGCCCAGTTGAGAAGAGTAGCTAACACTGCTCACAGAAGCAGAGGTTTCTGTTCTAGCCAACCTACCAGATGTATAATGATCTGATTACTCTGAATAGGCTCAGCAAAAACAGGGAACCAGAACCGTCACTGTATCATGTCATGTCAGATGTTCTCTAGAACAGTGGGTATGACGATGGAATGGGAAACATGGAAGGGAAGTTTCACATAGTAGATTACCTCTGATTCCATTGAGTGTAATGGCAACACCCCAAATGAAACTGACAGGTGTTTTACCATTGAGCATAATAGTCAGGTACAGACATTAAACTTTATTGGTATACGTGATCGGAAACCAGTCAACACCTGTAACAAACAGAAGTATGGCACACACAGACTGGTTTAAAAATGGTGGAACCCAGTCTAAGAGTTGCCACCACCTTCATTCCCCCTACCTCCCCACAGAAGGGCAAATGTCTGTTAGGTTCACTACTGATCTAAATCACGTTGCTTACAGAAAACACATAAATTAGCTTGATTCCACCTGGGGCTTTTTGCAACTATCCTGCTTTGGGACTCTGAGTTAGCTAACCCTCAGTTACCAAGTATGAAGACATTTCACATGGAGAAATGCAGCATCTGAAGTACAGGCATTTCCCTGTGCCATAAAGTACATTGTGTTCCTGACTGATCATCCGTCTCCACCTGATTTTATGTCTTCAAAACTGTGTGAGTACGTGTTACTACTCATTGTGACTTTTCATGTAGGCTTTTCGTTTTTCCCTCCTCCTCAGATCGAATTGCACAGAATATCATTAAGTCCCATTTGGAGACATGCCAATATACAATGGAAGAACTACACCAGCTAGCGTGGCAGACCCACACATATGAAGAAATTAAAGTTTATCAGAGCAAGGTACAATCCCATTAACATTTCTTCTCTTGCTTCAGTTTTATAGAGATTTAGTGCAGTATGTCTGGTAAGGACTTGCTTATCAATGCCCACTAAGGGTCCACACCCTTGGAGTGGGAAAGAGCAATTTGATATTAGAGGAATTTGGCAACTTAAACCTTAGTATGATCAGGGCCATTGCAAGGTCATAAAATGAGTTTTCCCTAACTAATCTGTGGATTAATCGTTTCCCAAAAAGAGAAGATTTGAATCCTATATGTTGGAATTTTTTTTAGAGAAGACAGTTTTGTTTTAATGTATTATTTGCATATAAAATTTGTTCAGAAAATGTCTTTCACTAGCAGCCCTTCAAATACAACCTAGTCCATAAAAATCATTTTCATCCATAGTAATGATTCTGCAGTCAGAATATAGCTGACAATTTAGTTTATCATGTACAAGACAAAACAGAGGCCAGTTTGATTTGTTGACATCTGTGGCTCTGCAATTCCAACAGAAATTAACTTACTGTAGCCAGTAAAATAAGCCCAGGTGAATGAAAGGCACAGCAGAAAAACTCACAAAAGAGTAATATGGGTGCTGACAGATGTGACAGTTGGTTACACAATTGGCCACTGAAAAGGATCTATAGCCATGCACTGACAGAAGTGCATGGCTGCAGAACGCTTTAAAAATCCCAATTGTGCAACAGTCTGAACCCTCATTATATGAGGGTTCAGATGAAGGTGCTCCAAGGCACAGCATCTTCATTAACATCTGCCAGTGTGGCCAGGAGCTCTGCTTCCTATACTGGTGTCAGAATGGGAGGGTGGGGAGTGAGTGGATGGAGCTCATTCTGGGGGTTGCCCAGTTGGTGCTGGAGAGTAGGGCAGGTGGACTGGAGTTTCCCACCTCCAGCATCAGCTAGGCAACCCCCAGAATAAGCCCCCTCCCCACCACCCCACCCCCCATTCCAGCAACAGTACTGGAGCTTGGATGGAGGAAAGGTGGGGCTGGGGGAGAGTGGGCAGCTGCTCTAAACTGCAGTTCATCTCCCAGTCCCCAGGACCCATCAGTGAATGTCTGTTGGGTCCCAGGAATAGCTACAAAGTACCTACAAAGTGCCATGAGTTACAACGGGGAGCTTCACATCTTTCAGTGCCCTGTTTTCCGAGATATTCTGCTAAATGTGTGCAGTTATTGTTCAACTGTAATCACACTTTAATTATTTTGAAAAGTTTATTAAACTTACCAGAAGTTTTTTTAGCAAGTAACTCAGTAGCATTATTTCTCTGCTGCTAGCAATATATTTGCATATTTAAATTCCTTAATCATCATGAGCTTTATACACGCACGCACACACACACTTATGTATGTATGTATATTCCACAGAAACACCTCCACTAAAAGAACATTTTAGCATTTCAAAATCAGACTCTCAGAAGTCAGGTAACACCAGAGATAAGACCAAATGCATTATGGAAATAGTTTTATAATGGGAAGTGTCATTCAACCTTAATAATAGGAGCTACTTCCAGCTTTGCCTATAACAAAATATAAACAGCCCATTTTGTGTGAGACAACATTATGTTCTTTAGCCTCTGAAGATTCTACTTGCTCACTGCTTTCCTTTTTAATGCATATTTTCCCTGGAAGACAAGAGAAGCACTGTGGCAGCAGTGTGCCATTCAGATCACTCATGCTATTCAGTATGTGGTGGAGTTTGCAAAGCGGATAACAGGCTTCATGGAGCTCTGTCAGAATGATCAAATTCTACTCCTTAAGTCAGGTGAGTGGAGGTCAGTGGCTGGAGATTTAGTTTAAAACATGCCAAATTAGAAATGTGTGTCAATGCTTGTTTTGAACATCATTTTCACTTTAAATAAACTTCACTTCTCTCTATCCCATCCAGCCCTCCTCAACTGCTTAATGCCTGCATGACTTTTTGTGCTGGTATAATATTCTCATCCCCTACTCTCCAAAGCCAATTGTGATTAGTGTCTGTAGAAAAATTTACTACTAATTGCAGAAGCTGCAATGCCTAACTTGAGGTGCAGTACAAGGAATTAGTCAACTGTGTTGGCTAAATCTGCATGCTACTGCCCCTTAAAAATCACCACTTGTCTTTAGTGGAACAAATCCAGGCTAAATAGGCCCTGCCTCTGTGGTCATCTCTAATCATTTTAATGAGGCTATAGCAGTACCCTCCAGCCAGTGCTCAGAAGGAGGAATCCCTGCTGGCACCAGTTACTCTTGGAATGAGAGGCTGGATGGTGACAGAACGTAATGACACAGTTGTTCTGCGTATGTGTGTGTGCACATGTGCATGGGGGCAGGGGAGTTCTTCCATCATGGCAACCAGTGATTGTCTGGCCTTCTTTTAGAATAACCATTCTCTGATGCACTCTGACGACATTTAGTTGTTAGGGATTCTGATTAAATTTACCATGACCCTGCAATAATTTAATTTAATTCAATGGGACAAGGCAGTATTGGTAATTAAGTGCATTACCCTGTCATGCCAGTATTCTGCTTCCTGGGCTTGTCAGAGTTTTCTCTGAGCTAGAGATGCACTTCATGTGATCCAAGAAAAAATCGTATGGCCATTCTGGAAAGCTATGTTCTCTCATCCTCCTTACTAGGAAGGATGTGACTTCTTTATCAAACTAAGATCATGGAGCCAGGGCAAAGTACAGAAAACCAACAGGATCCATGTCCCCACTTCTTTTCCCTGTGGGAAGTAGTAGGGAAGTGTGAGAAACAGGAGAAAGCCTTTGTTAACTTTTTCAGTTACATGAAGGAAATGCCAGGGGGTGCACTTTTCATTTTTAAAAAGTAGAACTTCCAGTTTTATATTAACTTACTGTCAGAAGAGTTTTCAAATAGCAAAAGATGTGAAACTGTAAATAAACGTGGGGGATTTGTAAATTTGCAATTTGTCCATAATTTGTATGGGAAATCCCCTAACCTTTCTGTTTTGAAAACAAAATCATACAGTTTCAATTCTAACCATTTGAATCCAACACTTTTAAAGGTTAGAAGCATTGAAAAGTGGTTGGAGAATATTGAATGGAAGTCTAGTTTCCAGTGGAAAAAACTATACATCAGAAGACGATTGACCAGTGTTAAAGTTGCAATTATTGTCACCCTAGCAATCTGCATTGTTTTTCAATCAAGAGTAGAGGCCTACATTATCAGGATGTGGTGTGGACTGTGAATTGCTATATTCTCTGGTCAAGCTAGAGAGATTGGGTGGTCAGTTTTCTCCAAAAGCCAGAGGAAATACCCTTCTGTCTTGCATGTTGTAGGCTTCAAGGGCTGCATTATTTGTGCCTGAAATCATTTTTAATTCTTATTTTTTTAGATATGGCAACTTTTATTTTTAAAAATGCCTTGAGATGCCTAAGTATCTTTCTGTGAAGTCTTTTTTGTGTGAATGCTTTGTGTGAATCATGTTCTTTCTGATGGCCAACAGGCTGCTTGGAAGTGGTTTTGGTGAGAATGTGCCGTGCCTTCAACCCACTCAACAACACCGTTCTGTTTGAAGGAAAGTATGGAGGAATGCAAATGTTCAAAGCCTTGGGTAGGTTTGATTTTTTATTTCCATAGAGTGAGCTGTAGATATGCCTTTCTACATGTGACAATACCCGAACATTTGAGCAGGAACACTCAGCATCAGCACTTGAGCTAAAGTAACTCCATTAGCTGCTAGTGGCAATACAATGTTTTTATTCCAATGGAAAGAGCACTGTGGAAAAGCAAGATGCTTCCCACAATGCCATGTAGTGATTGAATAAAATATGAATAAAGACTCTGAAATTTAGTTCCTAGCAATTTTTATCCCAAGCTCAATTTGTGCTTGATGTTGTGATGTACAAAAGTGTTCACTTAACCAAAGCACTTTCTCTCCCCCACACTTTTACTTGGCATCATAGCAAACAGATTTGCAAGCTAGCTTAAGAGCTGATACATTTCTAGCATTGACTTTGTCCTCTGTGATCTATAGGTTCTGATGATCTGGTGAATGAAGCATTTGACTTTGCAAAGAATTTGTGTTCCTTACAGCTGACTGAAGAGGAAATTGCCTTGTTTTCATCTGCTGTTCTGATATCGCCAGGTAGTTTGTTTTCTCCAAATACTTTAATGAATCTTCTTTTTCACTGCCTCCTTGTTCACATTTTTTGCCTATATAAACAGCTGTTGTTCCTACCTAAACCGGCACACTAAGTAATTGAAGAATATCTTGATCCTTCTCATTTACCCTAAAGCTTTCTTCAGTACTTACACTGACAGTAGTTAAACCTATTGGAAATAGACTTGAATTAAAATCTGGCTACAGCAGCCCAAAGAGCCACAGCTAGGCAGATTGTATGGCCTACCAGGTATGCAGAACTATTCTAGCCAGCTGTTCAGTACTTAAACTAAAAAATAAGTGGCTGGGTGTGAGCCAAGAATTGTCTCATCAGCACTCACAACATTGCCATAAGACAAAAGTGTAAATGAAGGAACGTGAAAAAGAGATTAAGAGCCAGAACATACATACTGTAATAGACGAAGGAAGTATGGTGTATGGTGGAGAACAAAGTTCCCTCAGGTGGAGCTTGAGAAAAGACTGTTCCTAATGGATACATGTTCTCTGTAGGATTTCCAAGCAGTACGAGGGCTCAGCTTTTCTCTAACCACTTTAAGACAGAAGGAACCTAAGGAATGAGCTGTGCCTTTCGGAGACTGTAGGAACTGCAGTTGTAACTAGCTTTATCTGGAGGATGGGAGCAGGCTGGCCAAGGGACTGCTTTGAGCTACCCACCTGCATACAGGACACAATACGAGATGCTCATTTAATGAGAATTTGCTCACTGGTACACAAAACGACCCATAACTTCTTCCCAAGCATGTGTGTTTAAATAAACACTGCCTGCCTGCATGAATGTTCATGGCAAAACAGATTAAAGGTTTTAAACATGGGGGGTTGGATCAGAGCACAAGCTGGATTTTTGAGACATGTTCATACATTAGTGGAGGAATTATAAAAAGTGCCTAAGGGAGTTATACACTTAATTCTCAATAAACGTTAATGGATATTGGGTGTCTAATTTCTTCAGGGGTGTACTTGGTAGCCGTGTTGGTCTGAGACATACAAAAAACTAGAACTCTTGGTTCCAAAATGATACCTTTTATTAGACCAACTGGAACTTGATTATTCCAGTTGGTCTAATAAAAGATATTATTTTGAACCAAGAGTTCTAATTTTTTTATATAACTTCTTCAGACCTTTTTTAAAACCCCAGCAATAATCATTTTATTTTTCACCCAGTTCTGCCCCAGACATCTTCTAGGTCATTCTGCCCCTTTTCACATCTCTGGAGGGGATTACTTTTCGATGGAATTAGACTAGCACAGATGGTGTCAACATGCATGGTATCTTCATTAATAACAGCTGCTGCAATGATTCTGCCCTCTGTTATTAGTACAGGAAAGAACACTTGTGTTCTTTGTTAGTTTGCCTAATGCAGGAAGAGATGATCCAGTGAGTAGCTAATGTTGTTTAGGGCCTTTGGCTTCTTAGATAGGTTTGTTTGCTGCAAGACTGCTCTTCAAAGATGTTTTTCCCATGCTGGAAGGTTTCTCAGTGACAGGACATAACTCAGGGAAGAGAGATCAGCAGCAGACCTCTCCAGCTGAGCTTTGTTTTACAGTACAAAGCCTATGTGACCTGGAGAGTGAAGCTTCAGGGTAGAAAACCCTGGGAGGGAACAGGCGTCACCTTGCATTGCCTTAAAAATGTTTATGGTGGCACAAAGTGAAAACAAATGGATGTCCGCACTCTTTGTGGCAGCACAATGTGGTCTCAACAAAAGATAGCAATTATTTATGCCACTTATTGCAGCAGACATCTATTTGCTTTATGGCAGGACAGCATAGATGGCCCGGAGCTGCCTGCACTCTCCAACTGCCCCAGGGTTTGAAGGGCTTAGTTCTGCATGCCCCAGGAATTTACAAACAGGATTGGGCCCCTCAAGCCTTGTGAGCACCCATTTGGTTTTCCCTACTTCCAGAGATTGCCAGGGGCATGTCTCTGGAAGCAGAGAACACAAAGCCTGTTGTCCCACAATATCAGAGGACAGGGCAACAGGCCACATGTGTTTCATCCAATGAAGCAGATTAGTTGTGCCAGGACAGCTGATATGCTTCATTTGGCAATGTCTGTCACTAGCCCCTGTGATCCGAGATGTAACCTTTCTTTGTCTTTGTCTTTGTCTTCATCAAAGGTCATGTCTTAATCTAATGTCATAAAACAGTTGGCTAAAAATATAGGACCCAATCCAAGGGATACTGAAGCGAATGGGATTTTTTTTTTCATTGCATTCAGTGGGCTTTTGGATCAAGCTAAGACAGAACATTCAGAGAAATCATAACCTTTCAGTTAAATCAGATTTCTATCCAATATTATGTCCCAAAGTATTGAGGAAGGGACTGAAAATACAGGCTTAGCCAGTGAGATGTGATCACAAAACAGTACCAGCAACTCTGAGACTATTGTGCCTTCTTTTAGGCCTGATCCAGAGCCAACTGAAATATTGGGAAGACTCATATTGACTTCAGGAAGGACTTCAATCCTTCAAATAGGATTTTGATAGAGCCTTTTATGAGATGTGTTTAGCTGTAGGTAGGCAGTTCAAGGATATCAGAATATTGATTCTACCATATGGTCTTCTAAACACTATTTTAGTTTAGAAATTACCAAAAGCTTTTACTTGCTGCTAGTACTTGCGGTTGACCGAGAATCTCTTACTCTTTTCTGCTTTCTGTAAAATGTTTGTGGATGTATTTAGTGGCTAAGAAAGTAAGTGATTCAGCACTGGCTTTGAGCCAACTGCACTGCAGGCAAGTGTTGTGAAAGCTTCCCCGTTAACTCTATTAATGTGTTTTAGTCCCGATACAGTACACCAGAGCTGCACCTTTTTTGAACAGAAACTATTTCTGCCATCCTTTATATAGTTGTGTCCTACAGATAAGTAGGAGCAGCTACCAAATTCTCATGTTCAGTGTAATCAAATCTAAGTGAAAGTCTAGTTACTCTAATAAAACACAGTTCCACCTTTCATTTCTAGGGTGGCTTCTTCCTATAGACAGACAAAAAAGCATTTTTAAGCTATTATTTTCCTTCTTCCTGTATCAGGCAACATATGCAAAAAGCAAGTGGTATGTGCCAAGCACTTCATTCTGTAATTGGGAGCACAGGGGTGAGATAAAAGACTGATGAGTTGAAACAGCATATGTGCCTTGAAAAACAATTTATCTGTTATGAGTAGGGCTGTGCCAATATTCAATTTTTCAGTTTAGCTACTGAACTGAAAAATTAAAAAAAAAAAAACCCAGATAAGATTGAACTGAATTTAAAGTATGTGGGGGGTTTTTCCTCCTGGATGAAATGGAAAACTTGAAAATCTCATTCCATTCACCACGAAATGATTTATTTGAGCTGATGCAACATGTTTTATTTTGTTCACATATTTAAAACAAAAATACCATAAGAGAATTAAGATCTAGATCCATTAGACTCCTGGATAAGCATTTGCTCTCTCCTTTCTAACCTATAGCTCAGGGGTTAGTATGCCCACAATGTATGTATGAGAGCCAGATCTAATTCCCACTTCTGATTGGTTTTGTATCCACATTGCCCTCCCTGCTTCACATCCCCAAGAGAGTGCTTTAGTGTTCTCACAATGGTGCACTCAGTCTTGCCTATTAATAGTCCTTCATGTTGTATAAATAACTGAACTCTCACTGAAACTGGATCTGGGCCTCCAGTCTCTGAGTGCCCTAACTATCAAGCTAGAGAGGCATTCTCATGGTCTCTGTCTCAGTGACTCAAAGTGAAACAGGATGCAACTTATCACAATGGAGGCCATCTTCAAATAGCCTAGTGCTTAAGGCTAGGTGCAGACATTATACTTAATCTGCTTTAAGCATGCAGGAAGTGCTATACAGCCATAACAGAACAGATATTCATGGCACATAAAGCACTTAAAAACGGCGGATCCCATGGGTGTCTGGAGCCTCTAGAGTCATGGGGGCACATGCCCTCCCTGACACCAGTCAGCAACCGGGGAGGCGATTCCCCGGCAGCTGATCCCGCTGGCCAGAGGAGTCCCCTGCAGCCAATCCCGTGTCCGATGTCACTCACTGCAAAAGTGGACACATTGCTTCCAGAACTCCTGTGGCCACTTCCAGAAGCGGCACAGCCACTTTTGCTGGCAGCCCCTCAGCCGGCACTTGCAGGGGAGGCAGTGCTGCTCCTGCCTGCTCCCCTGCCCGCTGGCTAAGCAGGGAGTGCAGCTGGACTGGGGATACACCGGCACCCTCTGGGGGAGCATGTGCACCCCTGTGCACCCCCTACGCATCGCCTCTGGTGGATCCCACTCTAAGTTAACCCTGGGTGGATGTATACTAACCTAAAGTGCTTTCTGTTAGAGCACTTTATTGAATGTCTGTGCCAGATCCCATCGAGGGTTAACTTAGAGCGTGACCACCACTATCCCAGGAGGCACTGTATGGTGCTGCTCAGCACAGTGCTGCTGTAGCTCCATTTGCTGTGCTCGAATGCTGGGCTGGCCCCACCCCCTCAGCTGTCACTTACCCAAGTCAGTGACAACCGCTGATCCCAGTCCCATGTGCAGCCTGGCCACGGAGAGGAAGTGAGGGTTCTGTCCCTGAAGCCACTCTGGACCGGCAACATGCTGCAGTCTGGCTGGGGGGTGCTGTTGGGGAAGCAATCTGGGGTCTCTCTCATGGCAACAGCTACCAGAGCAGCCCCTCTCCCCAGCCCAGCCCCTGCACCAGCTGGCGACCACCCTCGAACTACAGCTGGGGAGGGGAGGGGGAAGGGAACCCTATGCTGTGTGGACCCAGCTCAGCTTCCCCCCAACCCACAAGCCAGCAAGCTGTGGGGGGGGGGCTCCCCTCACTGTGGGGGGGCTCCCTTTTCTGCCCCCCACCCCAGCCACAGCCCCAGTGCAGTGAAAACCTGGAGCAGTCCCATGCTGCATACTTCTGGATGCAGCTGCCAGGTTGCTCAGGCAGTGGGGTGGGTAGGTGAATGGATCCCCTTGCTAT